TAAATCAACACAGAAGCTGCATCTGAAGTGGCATTTAGATGTATTTACACACATGTATTTTGTTTAATGCAAGACATGAATGCATTTAACCTGCAATTGCAAATGCATAAATAATGTTTTGATATATTAAACATAAAACGTTGAATACTGATATTTGAAATGATTTAAAACATGAAAAAACAAGAAAAAAGAAAAGAAAGAAAAAGCCGAAATGTGCAGCAAATCAAGCAAATCACTGTTAATAAGTGAGTCATTGCGATTGAACCGAATCATTTAAACGGTTGATAACGAAATACGTTGTAGAAATAGAGCAAAAACAGGCAATATAGTGTCTAAAATGCAAGTCTCTTAATTAACTTCTTGTTTATTGAACTGTTGTAAATCTATATGTAATCATGATGATTTTTGGAGGAAAAAACTGCATTCTTTGTGTGATATTGATGCAATATGGTGTCTAAAACGTAAGTCTCTTAATTAACTTATTGTTTATTGAATTCAATGTCTAATCATGAATCATGGTCATTTTTGGAGAAAAACGGCACTCTTCGTGTGAAATTGAATAACTATATGATAAATATATAATATATAAATTTTCTGCCATCATGTCTTGAATTTGTGATCATTCTAAATGCATTTTAATAGACTGAATCATGCAGTGAAAGAAAACACACTAAATGCGCACACGCACTAGTCTAGACTTCACATATCGTGCCCTGTTTTCTGTACGGCACACATAGGGGCATAGCCATCATTTCAGAAATGAGGGGGACAGAAATGTAAAAAAAAAATTTTTACTTTTGTCTAATTGACAGGCTTTATTTTTTCTTATGTCTTTTAATTGGCTAAGAAATCAAATACACTGCTGGGCGATAACCAATCATTTGTATTCTATAATATTTGTTTCTGTATTTTCTTAATGACAATTTTAGGATTGGTTTATACAAACACATAATAAGGCAGAATAACTGCTGGACGATAACCAATCATTTGTATTCTATAATATTTTTTTCTGTATTTTCCTAATGACAATTTTAGGTTTGGTTTATACAAACACATAATAAGGCAGAAATGTTATGTCAATTAGCACTGCGTTATTCATATACTATTTATTAACTGGAAATGACCTGAAATTACATTTTTTTAAAGCTACAGAGATAGCGGGATGCCTTTGTCCATATTAGGGATTTCCTGCACATAGTAAGTTATTATATATTACTTCTACTAGGCCGTTTTGGACTTTCTGCGCGAGAGTGCCCTCCGGCTTCGAGTATGAATGAAACATGCACTATATGTTCACATCGTCTCGTTTTGGATATGTAACAATCGTTCGGTCATACATACACTAGCCTATCTAGTTTTTCGCCCATCTGCACACACATCCAAAGCATGCACACAGAAAAAGTGATTTAAAATGCATCTGATTAATTTAACAGATAAATCATGGTTGATCTATCAGCCAGATGCATGTAAAAATGCATGCGCTCTTATTTCAGTGTTGTTGTTAATGTTGAGGTTATTTTAGCTTCGTACATTTAGTTTAACTGCACTGTTAAAGAGGGCGATTTTTACCATTCAACTTAACTGTGTGCATGTATTTTAGACACTTACATCGTTCTTGCTCCATCCGTGCAATAATTCTATCAACCGAGTTTTCTATTTACTTATACTGCACATTTTCTAGAGGGACATCTATCAGCGTTGCACTCGCGTCTCGCACAAGAGAGCGGCATGTTTAGAAAGCCATGTAAAATTAATGTAAGTTCAATTTAAAAAAAAACATGTCTCAAGACTTTATTTATTAACACTGTATCTCATGTTTTTAAATGAAGAAAGTAAACTACTTTTGTGATTGGTTTTCGGTCCTTTGTATTAAACTATACATGCATGGTGTCGTTTTTTTTTTCTAATTGTTTAAGCAACTTTATTAATTATATAGGGTTTATAAACATTATTTTAAACATTATGCACATTTTTTCAAAGATAGTCGTGTTATTTTATTACGCTTTGAAGAAACGTGCGTAATATTTTGTTCGATGCGCCCTCTTGTGGCCTCAGGAGAGAAGCCAACAGCTTTTTTCCCTCCTAACATTTAATATTTAAGTAGAAAATTCGAATTTAGTTTTTCAGTCATTTTGACAGCCCCACAAAGCAAAGTGCGGTTTGATCGGCCCGCTCCCGCAGCTGAACTGGACGTTTTGATTGGTTTTGCACCTGAGTCAGACCTGTCTGTTATTGGCTGAAGCGCAGGGCTCCACCCCAGAAGTTTAAAAAAATGTCCATCAAATGCCGGCTCGCTCGTTTTCTCCATCGGCACCTCCTTTGTCTACTTTCCACCTCTAGCTATCAGATTGAGTCATACAGATACAAAAAAAAAAAAAAGTTCTACATTTAGAAAAATCAGTAGGCACAATACCACATACATTTTTGACACATGGGTCAAACCCCCTGGGCGCTTAATTTTTCCCCTCTGTATTTTCACATGCTGTTTTTCTTTTACATCATGCTTTTTGTGTTGTCTTTTTTCAAACTTATATCTGCAAATAGCTATAATTTGTGTCAATGTTGTTTTTCTACCCTTTCTTCCACCTATTCTGTCTTGCATGCCCACATCTCTCTCTGCATGGCTTGGCTGCATGCTGTAAATTGTTCTTGATGGAATGTAGCTTCCTGTACCCAGATACAAAAAGGTAAGTTCATATTTATTCACTACTTTCCCACTTCCTAAACAAATTCCTTGTCTTTCCCATCGAAACTCCACTGATTCACTCCAGTAACACTGAAAAAAAACTTACTAGCTGTAATGTACTCTCTGAAATGTTAAAGAAAAGTGTACTGTAGAACCATTAGAACCATTATTACATCCTTATGTTATATGTTTTTTTGTTTTTTTTGTATTATTTTTTACATGACAGGATCATACAAATCTCTCAACTGGTTACTTTTTCTTTTTGATATATATATATATACAAGTATATTTTTCAGTAGAAATACTGGGATTAAAATATTACAAGTATTCCTAAATTCTAACCATTTGTATGCAACTGTAGTATTTTTTGTGACTAGAGACTAGATCTTACAGTCTCCTTTATGCGTGTTCCCTTTGTGGCATACCTCTATCTGTCCTGTGAAATATAAGACTTCCTGTGACACAGCTGGCATCATTTTGTACTTTACTGTTGGCATCTTTTCTTTTTGTTGGCTCACTCATTGACGAGACATTATCTTCAATTAAGATAAAGTGCTTACCCATGGGCAGATGTAAGCATAATGTTTAATAATGGCCTTTTATTAAGTATTTGTGATGAATGGATACATTTATCTCATGCTAGTTCATTTCTGTTACCATGTAATGGTACATTTCTGTCTTGAATGGCAATTTTTCACTGCATAGTAAGAGACTCCAGAGACTTTATCTCTCTCATTTGTTCTCATGTGGGTGGGTGGGTGTTTATATTCATATGGTCTTCAGTACAGTGTGGATCCCAGAGTTGTCTGTGGCCATGTCTCACCCCCTGTACATACATTCATGACTTAAGAATGAGATGAACCCATTGGCCACTTTCACATCCATGTGGGTATTAATTTATCTTTGCGTCTGACATGGAGCATTACAGCAGCCTGTAGACAACTATAAATCAGGTAGAAAGAGAGTGAAAGAGCTGTCATGCGGTTTAACATAAGCTAACCCTCACAGCTATTCAACAACCTTGATCAGGAACTCGGGTGTTTCTTTTAGATCAGTATTCAATATTTCACTGGCTTATTCAGACTATTTGTACAGACATCTGCAGTTTGATGGGCTCTGATTCATGATCTTAAAAATTTCTAACAGGTACTGGACCAAACAAATCTCGGCAAGCACAATGCTAAGGACAGGTGGGTAGTTATCAGTAGAGATAATATATTGGACTGATAATGGATTTGGATATTTATTTTTATTCATATTCAGGCTTTTTAACTTTTTCAAATGATCAAAAGATACAGGAAAAAAAGTACAATTTAAGTAAATTTTCTTTTTCAGTATATTTTAAAGTCATGTAATGACAGTGCTACATGAAATCATTTTAATATGTTGATTTGGTTCTCAAGAAACATTTATTATCACAGCTAAAAATAGTTGTGCTGGTTAATAATAATTTTTTCAGGATTCTTTGAATAACAGAAAGCTCAAAGGAACAGCATTTATAGCATTTATACATTTATGAAATAGATTTTTTATTCAACATTATAGATGTCTTTACTGATATTTTGCTTAATTTAATGCATCCAAAAATATAAAATTCTGACTCCAGACAGTAGTGTGGATTAACCATTAGATATAGCCCAACAAACAAACAAAAAAAGGTTGCAAAATCTAGGATCTTGATTGCAAAACAATATAATGGCATAAAAAAACAATACATGTTATGTATATGGATTCTTAATAATATTATAATAAATTATTATTATTATTACTGGTAGTATTTGATGCATGTTTGTATTGCTGTATAATGATCAGTTATTTGTTAAAATGTCAAAAAATATATATTAAAAATTTGTTTTGCATATTGGTAATCAGACACCACACAAAAAAAAAATGGCCCAAGATTCTGGGATAGACTCCAGCATCCCCACGACCCTACATAGGACAGGCGTTTTGAAAAAGGGATGTATAGATGGTATCTGTCATAACATAACTGCTTATTGAGATGTTACTCTAGCATTTATTCTCTCACTTCCTCCCACTGTTGTTCAAGCCCACCTCCAACCTGTACTAATGTTTATCGGTAATGCTTTATGGCTATGTACTGTGTGGCTCAATGGCGTTTGGAGCGTGTACAGCTCTCACCCATTGAGAGTCATCTGTGCTGGAACCTCCATCTGCTCTTGTGAAACACACTTGATTTCGACCAGCCCTTTTCTTTTACAGAATATTGCCCCTTTCATTTTTAAGTGCAGACCATCTCCAACAGGATGTTTATCCAGAAGAATAAAGAGATATAATTTGGCAGATGAAACAGATCTGACTAGTTAGCCGTTGATGGGGAGATGGGAAGGGAAATGCCGTACTTGGCAGCGTGGCAGCAGTAAGTAAAGCGCTATGAATGATTGGGTGCGCGCACAGCTTTCACAAGCACTTGCTGATCCATGCCACACATCTCCTTTCACACTGGTCATTTCTCCTGCTTCTCCGTAATTATGATCAACCATCCATTCACCGGCAACACTGCAATCGGACGCCCAATAACACATTTATTGTTAGCTGTGTTCTCAGGAGACCTCTGCTTCTCGGTTTTACGCTTATCCGGAATAGTCAAGGTCAGCTGGGACATTACAAATGCACGTTAAGGTTACGCCCACTCGCCCTCCTCCAATCAGCTTGCAGTTACCAGACAGACCTTTGATGAGGAGTTTAGTTCCTCTGTATTTAACACATCCTTCAATATCCAACGAGAATGGGGTGCATCAGCATTGCACCATATTAAATCACATGGCGGCTGTTTTTCTTTATCGATCTGCTTGGAGCAGTAGGAACCCAGTTTACCAGTCACCATATGTCACGCAGCCCTGAAGCGCAAGACAAATTCTGAATTACACCGAGTGCCTGGCTCAACACTGAGCAAAGATAACTCAGTTGTTATTAGCAAAAAAGCATATATACGCCCCCAGTGTTTAGCAGGTTTAGCTGTATTGGAATTGGATTTATGGCAGTGGGGAGATGGGAAATCACATACGTATGTTGAAAGCAATGTTCAGTTTTGTGCTTGCCTTTATTTTCGTGAATGGTTGCGTCAGTGCTCTTCTATAGTGAAGTGGACCTCAGAGGCTGTTTCAGCTTGCAGCACCTTCAAAGAGAACGACCATCTGCAGTCTCCGCACGCACGCACACACAAACATGCTCACAAACACAATCACATAGAGCCGAGTGGACCTGTGGATTTTTGAAAACTGCTTTGTAGCTCTGATGAGACCGGTGTGCACGGGTCATCCTGTTATGGGCCAACAGCAGGAGCAAATAGCTTGAAGAGCAGATTGAAAGAGAAAGATGAGAAGGTTGTCTACATTTTTGACAAGCCTTTGTCAAAGCTGAAGTGTGGCATTTTTTCGTTGATTATAAACACTTTCTCTTTGGCCAGTTTTACATGCCAGTTTGGCCCAGTCAATGTAAACCCAGGCTGTGTCTGAATTCCTGTACTTTTTTTAGTATGTACTAATAGTGGGAAATATGGCACAAATATCATATCAGGTTTTTTTTTTGTTTTCAGGAAATTCACTATTTTATCACTATTCTTTTTCATATTGGTTTTACTATTTTGCAAGTTGTCTGAGCAGTACAGCCAAACTAATTTCCCTATTTTAAAAACAATATAAAATAACAAAATATAAAATAAAAAAAGAATGGCAGACATTTAGGCCAAAGTGGGCGAACATAAAAAAAAATCTTTGTCATTATTTTATATTTGTTATTTTAAAAAATACGGAGAAATATACAAATTACAAATACACATAATATACAAATAAAACAAATAATGCTTTATTTTTCAGGTACAGTAGGTGTATTTAACAGTAGCATTCAAGAAATTGAATGAACAAATATGAAAATAAAACAATTCACAAATATATAAACTTCACTGTATAAATTACACAATGATTCTTATTAAAGCAACTGTATTAAAGTTCTTCAGTCAAGAGCAGTGAGTGATTTTTCTCTGTGTTTTGTTGGTTAATTAACATTAAAGGGATTGTTCACCCAAAAATGAAAATTATGGCATCATTTACTCACTCTCAAGTTGTTTTAAATCTCAATTAGTTTCTTTCTTCTGTTGAACATAAAATATTTTTTGAAGAATGTGGATAACCATACAGTTGCTGGTCCCCAGAAATATCTTCTTTTGTGTTCAGCTCAAGAAAGAAATTAATACAGATTTGGGACAACATGAGAGTGAATAAATAATGACATAATTTTCATTTTTGGTGAACTCTCCCTTTAATGACAAGCGGCAGCATGTTTAGTACAATTAGTGTGTTGTCCCTTTTACACCTGCACGCATCTAATATCAAAGCCTAATATACAGGCACGCATCCGTTTTCCTCTCAACTGTTTACTTTCACTTTAGACATAACAAGTTGTGTTTATATGTACACCTTGTGTGTTTTTGACAGTATTAGCACAATCAGATGCGAAAGATTGCTTAGTCCAGTAATAGGGCCCTGTTTGACATGCTTTTTTATTGTGCGTGCTCAGAAAAAGCGCACATCAGAACAGAACGCAAATTAAATGTTTAACCGGCAAGGTTGTAAAGCACATGCAAATAATGTACTCTTGTGATTGTGAATAAGTGCAGTGTCCCGTGAGTGTAACTCTAGCGCTGAGTTAACATTTGATGTGAATGTATGGTGTGATGTACAGTATATTGAGACTGAGGCGCCAGAACTGCAACTGAGAATGTGCACTGTAGCACAATTTCTTCGAAAGCAGATCGTGTAGACATTTTAATCATCCACGATCAAAAATCATAATATCGCACACCCCTAGTATGTACTGAATTATATAAACACCATACCTCTTACACACTGATGAAGTGCGTTCTGTAAGAATACATTTCTGGACATTTTACACTGTAAGAAAAAAAGTACAAAAAACTGTACCTTCAGGGAATGCAACAGTTCTCATTGGGACAACTATGTGCCTGTATAACCTCAAAGG